CACACACACACACACACACACACACACACACATAAAATATTCTTATTGAAAAAATTAAAATTTACAATTACTTGTAAAATAGCGCCATTTATCCCTAATTTGTGTGCATGTGTAATTTCAGTTACTTCTTTTACATAATGTAAAAGTTTGTCATAATTGTTGTATGAAAATAATGCAATAGGTGCAATTCGCATTGCACCGCCGTTGCCGTAAGAGCCTAGACCGTCAAATAAATTTTTTGCTGGGATTTTTACATTTGTTTCCTCGACACATTTCTTCCATTCTTTAAGTACCTATAAATACATTTTGTGTGTGTACACACATACACACATACACACAACACATACACACACATATAGCAGATTATTATAAATTAGTATTTATCACAAATTATAATTATAAAGCATTTATAATTATATAAAAAAAGGAAATTGCAAAAGTCTCTTCTAATACATGCAAACTTTATATTACGTTATTTATAAGAAATCAGATGTTTTTTTTACATATCGAGAAAAAAGTTGATTTCCGAGATAAATATATATAGATTTATTTTTAATATTCTTTTAAAATAAATTAAAGTTATATCGAGTAAAATTATTTTAATATTTATTTAATATTAATGATGACCAGCAAAATATAACAAAAGAAAATTGATCAATATGAATATATAACCAAGTAGAAATGTCTAATTGGTTAGAGCTAAAAAGCTGTTTTTTTTTTTAATATTCTAATGTCATATTCAACATAATAAAAAGATGTCATGCTAATAATGAAAAAGTTGGTAAGTTCTCATTGGAAAATCTTTAATGAAGCTATTAAAGAATCTAAGTAAGGAATCAATGACCTTTTCTTAGTTCCTTACTGAATCTAAATATATAAATAAATCATATTAAAGAATTTTATAATAATTGCAAAGTAGCTTTCTCAGTTGAATACAGCCAATGATTTTCATAACTGAATTATTTCTTCTTGCTAAAATTTAAGAGCCCTTCCCAATGTACGCTCGTACACTGAGTGACAAATGAGAATGCCTGCCTAATTGTAGCTTTATGGCAGTTATTTTTGCAGTTATTATTGTTATGTCTGAACAAATAATATTGAATATCCTTGTGCATTTATGTCTTCAAAAACATTACTTTTCAGAATTGTACAATTGCAATTTACACAAAATTTCGACGACTTTAATACTTTTGTTTGTAAGATACTTGATCAATGCATGAACTTAAACAACACTTCATATAATATAACTATTCAATAGACATCTTTAGGACATCTTTTAAGATTCTCTTTGAAGAATTGTTATGTGAGACATTGTGACAACAGCATTTGATTTTAATTGAACCATCCTCAAATATTAGATAATTATCAATCAATATATTAATACATATTATATCAGTAAAAAACTAACAATTACAGTACCAGCTCCATAACCACGATCAGGTCTTTCATGATAACTTTTTGCGAATTGCTTAGCTACATCAACAATATCCAGCTCTTGTTTCTCAATCAATGATTCAGCTAAGGCGCATGTCATTGCCGAATCATCTGTGTACTCCATAACAGGCTCTACATAATTAAGTTCTCTGTATAAAAAATTGTAGCTTATTTCACATAAAAAATAAAAAAATGTAAAACATTTGTAGGACGTTTAAATATTCCTCGATTTTTATATTTAAAAAGAAAAAAAACATGAGTTTTAATTAATAAAAAACATTATATGTATTATAAGTATACTGCTAATATTAACATACTGAATCTTATAAACAAATGCATTATTGAAACCAGAATTCAAATTAGTTAATATCGAATTCAAATTAAAGTTATTCCATCACATGCAAGTTGACTTTGTTACAAATTACAGATTTTTGCGACCTAACCTCTAAACTTCACATCCCACAATTGATTTAACCGTTGTTGCAAATTGCTTTTTTTCTGAGCTGAAATTGTCTTTAAGCCTTCGTATGGACTTCCAAGACAATCGCCGACCAAAACTCCTAGTATCGTACCGCGAAATTTATTTTTCAATAATTCCGGATCCATCCTTAATGTTATGATTATGTGAAAAACGAAAATCTAACCAATTTTGCCAATTCATTGCTACAGTTTCACTCTAGATTGAATTTGAAATTCCCCAGATTCCCCTAAATCTTAATTTTCATAGGAAAAAAAGGTAACATCAATAATTATATTTATTATTATATATATATGCATTTTCTATGTATGTTCTGTGTATACTAGAAATTTACTGATTTTATACAATAATATAAAAAATTGTATAAATAATTAATTATATATAATTAAATTGTTAATTAAATATGATTATTTTCATAAATATTATGAGTATATATTTAATAATATATACAATCTGTAAATTTTTATATTAAAGATTATTAAAGCCTACACATATGAAGTTATAAATGCTTGTCAGCAAACAAAAATGGATTGAAATGAATTAAAATGGATTCAGATTTTCAGAAATATTGATTCACGAATGTTAAAATGAATACTTTTCAATTCTGAATGCATTTTTATTCATTTATAGAGGAATTACATGGAGCATATCTCTATGCTTTTCAATCTAAAAATAATATTAGCTTTTTCTGTGTACAACACACTCATTGTAAATAGTGTTCAATTCAAAATTTTGAATAGGAAATGCAGTTTTTCAATCCAATTGCATCCAATTGAATCTAATTGAATTCAATTGGATCCAATTAAATCCAAAAAAAGTATTCGCTTTTTAAAATACGCATTCGGATAGAAAAAAATTTCAATCCATTTAAATCCATTTTTGTTTGCTGGGATAGCAATGTGAGAATGCATACTGCTTCGATACGCGATAAATTCGATAAATTTTTCAGCAGAATTTTTTAATGAATCATTATATCACCTTGTTTGTCAATATTAAACAAGGATGAAATGTACGATTCACTGTGTTACGTTGTGTCTACTGAAAAACGCTCATTAATGCAATTGTGTATATATGTATGTCAATATAAATTAAATTAAATAAACACAACTTTGTCTCTGTTCTGGAGGAGATCTGAAAAGTTTTTCAATCGACAGTCTTTAACTATGTTCGATACAGAATTATTGTGTAAAACATTTGTACAATCATGATTTTTTTTTGTTAATAAGATGTGCATGTTTACCCGGCCGAAAACAAGCTATTAATCCAACATTAAAGTCACGCTTGAGTTTAATAGAGAAACGGTGATCGATCGAGTCACCGATGCAATCTCCTGTTAATTAATTACGTGAACTAATTCCTAGGATCTATTGCAACGAAGATAAGGCAGGTGGTACTCTTAATTTATTCTTTGTGATTTATGAAATACTTAAAGGTCATCTGTTGCACGGAACTTTCTTTTAAGTTACGATATTCATGTTGGAAAAAAATGGCTTTTACCTCACGTTCTAGCAAAACACAAGAACGCTTTAAATTGCTGTGAAAAATTATTAAGAACAATTTAATCATTTACGTTAAATTCATACATTTTCATTTGTAATTTCCCTTATGAGATTCTTGATGAGTTTTATAAAGTGTTACATATACGTGTACAGAATTTATTTGGATATTAATAAAAGTGCACAATTTACGTGCAATTATAACGTAATTCCTACATGAAGAGCTATGACACACAGAAAAATTTAAACTGCATTCTAAAATTCCTCTCCAAGTAAAATTTTCCTCGGAGAGAACGTTTTGGAGTTGTCCTAAATAGTAAAACGTAGTAGCAGTAAGGAAATCCAACATGTTGGATTTGCTACTTATTATGGCTTTACGATTCTCTACTGTGATTGGCTTTCTGCTTATCTTTTTTCGCTTAAGTTTTTTGTTAGTCTATTATTGCTCCTATAAAATTTATTTTTATAAATGCAATTATTTAAGGACACTGTTCGTCGTAGTTGCTAACAATGTTAACATAGCGTATAGACTATATGTCTGTTATCATCAAAGTTATCGACGTATATTTACATGTGTACGAATTTCTCAAATCTTGATTTAACAAATCTTTTCGCGCGCTCGCAGTACATACTATTTATCGGAATTAATGCTTTCCGTCACGCTACATTCATGTGATTACGTCATATTTGCGTGACGGAATTAAATCCGCTAATTTCCGTGGAAGGTTTATATCCCACCCAAACAATTTTCGCGTTATCTATTTATCTATTTCCTACATCTTCATCGTTAATACCGAGGATACTCGAGCACACGTTTCGTGCAACACGCGTGAAGAATAGTATCCGATAGTATCCTCATACGCATTGCAACTTGTAACCTTCAGGTGGGTTTAAGGGTGGTTTCGCCGGCGCGGCGGCACGTCAAAGGGATCGGCGGCACTCGGCCGCGGTGATTCGGCGTGCCGCCGCTTTGTGATTGGTCGGAGCAGCTGGCCAATCAGCGGCGGCGTCGTTTACTAGGCGCGCTCTACCCGGGCAGCCAGTGTACCGCCGGTCGCGTACCTGTTCGGATTGTTTCTGTTTCGTTGTTTGCGCTCGTCACTCGTGAAAGCTCCTCAATCTTCCGTGGAGTGGATTAGTGACAGTGCCTCGCGAGAGATATATTGAGATATTCGTTCTTTTTCATTCACTCTTTCTTCATCCTTTTCTTTCAATTTTTTTTTTTTTTTCATATCGAATAATGATTGGTCCATGTCGATGTTGAGGACCGGCGCGGGCGCGACGATACGAAGCGCGACGAGATCATGTTATGGAGATCGGCAAGTTGACATCCTCGTGTTTCGTCGCCGCGCTACCTCCCCGCTGGACGGTGGGAGGGTCGTCAACCGCTTCGCCGAGTGATCCACCTGCTCGAGTCGACAGCCGCCACCGCCACCGTCGTCGCCGCCGCCGCCGCCGCCGCTGATGCAGCCGCGTGTGAGCCGGTGCCTCT